GATGATAGATAGATAGATGATAGATAGATAGGTAGATAGATAGATAGATAGACATAAAATAAAATAATAGATAGATGATAGATAGATAGACAGAAGATGGATAATGAATGGATGGATGGATAGATAGACGATAGATAGATAGATGATAGATGATAGATAGATAGATAGATAGAATACGATGGATAATGAATGGATGGATGGATAGATAGACGATAGATAGATAGATAGATGATAGATAGATAGATAGATAGATAGATTGATATATAGATGATAGAGATGATAGATATATAGGTAGATGAAAGATGATACAGATGGATGGATAGATGGATAATACATGGATAGAAGATAAACACATAGAGATGGATAGGTGAATAGATGAATGAACAGACAGATAGATGATAGATAGATAGATAGATAGATAGATAGATAGATAGTAGATAGATAGATAGATGGATGGATAGATAGATAGATAGATAGATAGATAAATGATAGATGATTGATGATAGATGACAGATAAATAGATGATAGATAGATGATAGATAGATAGATAGATAGATAGATAGATAGATAGATAGATGATGGATAGATAATAGATGATAGATATAAGGGTGGATGAATGGATGGATGGATGGAGGGAGGGAGGGAGGGAGGGAGGGATGGATGGATGGATAATACATGGATAGATGATAGGCAGATAGAGATGGATAGGTGAATAGATGAATGAATAGATAGATGATAGATAGGTAGATGATAGATTAGATAGAAGGATGGATAATCTGATTGACAGGTAGATAGATATATGATAGATGAGACAGATGGATGGATACATAGATAATCTGATTGAGAGAGCTTGCCTAATCCCATGGTGCCTACCAGCACTACATCACTGAGCTGGGAAGCCCTGTTTCACACAGCAGTACAGGAGCACATCACACAGAGACACAAGTGCAAGTGATGTCAAGACAGATGGCAATAAAATGTATCCAAAAACTAGGAATCGACGTGTCCCAAGTATTGATTATTTTTGCTTTTAACATAATTTATTCAATCATATGTTTCTATAATTTGACTTTTAATGATGCAAGTACTTAGCAATCACTTGTAAAATCCCTAAGATCTTAGCAAGCAGCTCTCACAGCTGAGTGCCAGCCCAGCTCTGTGTGCTGTGGGGAGAACCCCGGAAGGAAGAAGAGGAAGCCTCATTCTTCAGGCCTCACGCCCAGCACGAGCACGCAGCAGAATCACTCCAATTATCAGGACTAAGCAAGTATGGAGTAACTCCATGCCTTGCCTGGGCCAGCTGCAATGAATACAAAGTGCGGTGAAACAAACCTGGTAGTGACCATGCACCAGTGCAACCCCCCGCAGAGCAGAAAGAAGGAGATGCCTCATCCCACCTCGGTTGCAACTGAGTGTAGCACATAGAACGTCCTTTGTCAAGGAAGGGTTTTCTGCCAGAGGAAACAGAGAGATGTGATTAATAAACAGTCCTCTCCTGACTCACCCACTCTCAAAAATTGTTTTCAAAGATTCAACACCAGTTCCTAAGAATTTCTTAAATCGTCGGGGTGGACAGAGAGAGGATTAGGGCAAAACTGCACCTTTTTTAAACACATTTTTTACCTTTAATTTATGTCTAGAATTGCATGTGTAGGGGGTACATCATGGCATGTCAATGCACATACATATGTGTATAACGATAAAATCAGGGCAATTGGCATATCTGTCACCTCACACACATCATTTCTTGCTGGGAATTTTCAAAATTCTCTCTTACAACTGTTCTAAAATCCCCAGCTAGCCATTGTCAGACACAGATTTCCCACTGGGCTACAGAATCCAATTGCTCCTGCTATCCGCCTGCAGCTCTGTCCCTGTTAGACACCGTTTTTCTACCCTGACACCCTCCATTGCCTCTGGTGCCCAGTATCCTACTGTCTGCTTCACTAAGACATTTCACCTTCTGCATATACCTGAAGCATTTGGCTTCTGTGTCTAGCTACTCAGCCTAATGTCCTGCAGTTCCATTCATGTGGGTGCAAACAACAAAAGCACCTTCTTTTTTTTTTTCCTCTAAAATACATATGGTTTTTATTTTTATTTTTTATTTTTTTAGAAGAAGCATTTCATTACAGCTTTAACATACTCAACAGTTTCCAGAGCGAAGATACATCTCTTTCAAAGGTGGCTATAAAATTTGTAGGTTCACTGTTGAATTAATACAGTGATACAATATTGAACTCAGTATAAGCCATATAAGACATAAAATTGAATGAGATTTTAACCTTTAAAAAAGATCTCCATTTCATTTTAAAATATACTGTTTCTTATAGAAAGACACATTGTTTTTACTAATAACACACATGTTGGCACATGCATCTCTCATCTGTATGTATCTGATTATTACTAGTCATAATCGGTTGCACTTGGCTCCTTGGCACCTGTGTTATGTCTATAAAGTCATCGGGTAGATTTCAATGTTAATGTTTATTACCTCTACTAATTAACATGATGTAAATTTTTATGCTTCCTCTTCAAATATAATTAATTTTTAAAAATTTGATTTGTGTGTGTATGTGTATATCACACAGAACATTCCAAACCATCTTATTCAACTATACACCCACTTCCCAGATGGCACCCTCCCATAGCCACCCTCCCCTCACTAGAGCCTTTATGCTCTGATATCCCTGCTAATTTCTGCTGTGTTCTCGGTAACCCCAGCCATTCCCCACTACTTGTCCATCTGGTGAATCTAGTCAGCCTACCTAGAGGTCTTTGTTTTAGGAATGTCAGCTGTCCCTCATCTAGCAGCAATCAGTTGTCAATATTCCTTTAGATAAGACTGGGGTCTGCTGTTCATTTTCCCAGTTCTATGCTGGGTTACTATCTGGGAGTCCCTTGGGCCAACCTGGCCAACAACTAAAAAGAAGGTATCACCCATCTGGCATTGTTGCTTGTTATGTAGCCTTTAGCTATACATATGGACTCTTAGAAATTATATTGGCCCCTTTAAACTTTGCTTTCCTTTTGGGTGTTTAAGGCCATACAGTTGGCCCAGATAAACCAATTTATTTTTACTCTTAAGGCCATTTGAGGATCTGTTCCTCAGGGGTCACATGGGCTTGGGAGGAGCCCCTGGCTCCTTTCTTTTACCAGTTCTACCTATGTGAAGATAAGTCAAAGGTCCTACTTGACCATGGCTGGCTTTGTTTGGAAGCATGGAGGAAATGATTCCTCAGTGTTAACCCCCCTCTTTGTAGACTGGATACTGGTTCAAGTCCATCTGGTGGGGTCTCCTCGGGCTCCTTGATCAAGATGACAGGTGACCCACCACAGTTACAGGACATTTTGAAAGATGCTCATAGTCCCCTGGAACTAGTCGAACTAGGAAGGCAAGGAGCAGAAAATGTCCTTTATGCCCCTCTGACCAAATTAGTATAGGCCTCAAAGTATGTCTGTTAAACATCCAAGAAGGTTAGTTCCACTAGTCTGGTACTTTTAAGTACTGTGTGCCATGCAGATAAATCTTGGGCAAAGACCAATTGTTCTCAGATAAACCTTGCCTAGACATATATTTCTTGATCTGGTATGTATAATTTGTCAGTAGGTTGTAGGAGTAATATGGTTCCCTCTGATTTTCAAAACTAGCTAGGCATTGTTTATCACATTCTCGAACCCCTCCATCATGTTTTCCTCAATTAATGTGCCCCTGTTTTCCCCTTTCTCCCTTAATAACACCCTTCTCCTATGGTCCCACCTGTCTTGAGCTCCTTCTTTCCCTTCATACCCTAGGTTCTTTGTATACCCTTCCCTCCCCGCTCCCTTAAACTAAGCCAATTTTTATCCATATCTCCCTTATTAATGCCTGTTTCCTCCTGTTCTTCTCTTTCAAGTTCTATGTTTTCCTTTACCTCCTTGGTTCCTGTAGTTATGCCTGGATACATACTCACTTATCAGGATTTGATTTTAGAATACACATATGAGGGAGACCATATGTCGTTTTTTCTTTCTGAGTCTGTGTTACTTAGTATAACAGTTTCTAGTTCCATCCATTTACCTGCAAATTTCATGATTTCATCTTTCTTTATTGCTGAGTAAAACTCCATCATATAAATGAACCACATTTTCATTATCCA